GAAATGGAGTGATCGTATTAACCTCAAATGTCCTCAAAAATTTATAGCTTTGGTAAAATTATAACCATTTTTCGGTCAATTTGGTTAACTTTTATTAATTTAAACTTTGGAACAGTAACTGTCAATAACATTTCTAAAACCACAGTAAAAAAGTAAGTAAAATAGAAAATGCAATAATCCTTGGTATCAGCGTATGATAATTTGGTACACTATGTAATATAAACATTAAACTTATAATTAAACAATAGTTCACAAAATATTAACTTAAAAAATCGCAATTAGATAGAGTGTAATATATGTGTTGTCCGTAAACTGGTTGAAGACATAATGAAGAAAAGATTTTTCTGAAAATATTTTTCGAATATTCTAGTTAGTTCTATTTATTCTAGTTATTTTTAGTTCATGTGTGGAACTAATTGTGCAACATTTTTATTGTTTTGTGAGAAATTTTAAAATACTATCTAAATAAAAGAGATTTGAGTCAAACAGTGTGTTGAGTTCATTGCGTTTATTTATTGTTCTATCGTAATATTATAAATAGTCAAAAAAGATCCTTCTATAATTCTTCGTTTAAATAAATTTTCTTCGAATTGTGTTTTAAAGTATTAACGTGGTCAGCAAGCATAGTTTTAAATTGTTTGGGATTCTTTGAAATATTTTTGTCTCCAAGAAGACTTTGCAGATTTTTGTCTCCATTAAGTCTGCAACCAGTTTACGGTCAATACATATATTATCTAATTGAGTTTTTTATGTTAATATTATGTGAAATATTGTTTAATAACAAGTTTAATGTTTATATTACATAGTGTAGTGCATTACCATGTCCTGATGGATTACTGCATTTTCTATTTTAACAATAATTGTAAAATTAACTAATTGTAAGTACTTCTTACTGTTTATAATTTTTGTTTTTCCCAATTCAATTGCTTTAGTTTTTAATTTTATTTTTTGTTTCCACTAAATGAAGGCTTAGATTATAGCCGAAACGTATGGATGTAAAATAAATTTTCGAAAGAAATTCATGTTTTTTAATACATATGTCAACATCAAATTCAGAATCATACAATATATATATATATATATATATATATATATATATATATATATATATATATATATATATATATATTTGTGTGTGTATACATGTGTGTATGTGTGTGTATGTAATAAAATCGTATTTTTTTTCAAAACGGGTACACTTAATAAAACTTCACATTATTATTAACTTAGAAAAAATGGATGTATGTGTGTGTATGTGTGTATGTTTGGATACTATTTTTCGTCCATAATTTCAGGCACACGAATCAATCGATTTGAATGATTCAAAAAACATTCGATTGCTATTGATGAGAAGACATGCTGATTAGTTTTTGGCGAAGACAGGTCCAGCCGTTTCGAAGATACGGCGAAAAATGTGCTAAAAATGGTAATTCAGTTTTTGACGTAACGGAACGCCCGATTTGAATTATTTAAAATACATTTTACTTGTATTGACAACATGAAGAATTAATTAAATTTTTGGAAAAGCAGGTCTAACGGTTTCGGAGATATAAATAAAAATATAAAAAAACACAACATTTAGCGGTCTAAAATGATCATTAGACATATGCACATCAAATTATCAAATATTTTATAGAGAGTTTAAACATGTGTCTTAATTTTGTTACAATTTTTTTGGGTTCCGTACCAAGATTTTTAATTTCTAGAATATAATAATATTCTTCTAGTAATCGTAAGAAATATATCCTCAGTTGGATTCATTCATCAACTCTTCTTAACGTAAACATTTTCAAGTGCTTTGAGCGATGAGGTCGTCACTATATATTATATGAACGAATACATATATAATAATTATAATTATCTTTCTAGAATTATTTAAAACAATTGTTAATATTTATTGATTATTAATTATTTTTGCTCGAATATTCAATTCAGATATGGAAAGTTCTAGCAATTTGCCTTAAGGCACGATGCCATGGGCACCACTATTTTTCTGTGCATTACCATCTTAAGCTCACTGTATTATTTCCGTCGGAGCTTAAAAATGGCGATAAATGTTCATTCGAAAAGTGCATACTGAATATTGTAGCTGAAAATGTAAATAAATGAATAAAAAAACCGCCGTACAGTCCGTTCCGGCCACATCTATCACGATTGATCTCCCATGGGATGCGCGAGGGCTAACCGCAATGCTGTAACAACAACGTTGAACCAAAGTACACAATGGGATTTCGATACTGGACGACATCGGCTAAGTTTTGCGAAATAACTATTCGGATTCAAAGCGATGCGTAAACATCTAGTGATGGAGCATGGAAATCGAAGATTGGGAAATTTCGATATTGATTTGCAACCCTTAACACCCACGGCCTTGGATAAAGGACGTTAACATATTGCAATATAGAGAGACAGTGAACTCTATGTAAAAAAGAGTGGGCGTAAGGTTCACATGCGATTGAAGTAAAACTTTTTTGCTATTGTACGAAATGGCATTTAAGTAAAATAAATTCATTATATAACAATTTTGAATAATGTTTATTAAAAAATGAGTCATATTCCTATATGATAACACTCGTGATGCACACATTTTTTAATGTCAACCATCAGTCACACTTCAGACATGATCGGTTTGTCATTGTAATTAGCATTTAGGACTTGAACCTTTATTAGAGAAATGAAGTAATTGCCGATTAATAAACTCTATAATATTTGTTCACACAGTGAACTTATAACAATCTTGAATAATTTCATTGACATTGCAAATAAATAAACTACATACATGTCCATTATGAAGTATATCTGTATATAAATGATACACAGCTACACAGCTGTTGTGCTTTATCTCTTGTTTAGAGCAATAAATCAATATCAATTCATTCTTCATTATTTATAAAAACATGCAACTCTGTAATACTTAATAGCCACCATGATCGAAAAACATGTAGACTTCCTCTAAACTTCCAAAAGTGCCTGAGATATAATTCTGAAAAAGATATATTTTCGGCATGATAGAATAAAGCTGTGTTTTTTAAATATTCTTTAATATCTATAAAAATGCAGAGAATTATTGTAAACATCGCTTAAATAAATATTGTTTTCACAATTTCACTTATCATGTAGTTGTGTTTGAAGAACTTCATGTAATTAAAATTAACATGCATTCATTAACTGCTTGTTTTTTTTTACTTTTTTGCTGGCGATACAGTTTCATTATTTTTTGATCAGCAATAATTTCGTTAATTTACCAGTTGCCTGGTAATTTGAACATTTTAGGAAATACTGAAATTCTGACCTCAAATACGATGGATTAGTCATATAATCAAATCATACAAGAAAAGGGCGAGCAATAAAACTAACCACAGCCAGGGGCGGTTGTGACAGGCATAAAAGTAAGTTAAAAAGCAATGGCTATAAACATCAAAATCGTTAATAATGACCGTTATTGTCACAAATATATAACTATTAAATAATCATTTAAACAAAGCTTATAAATATCATATAACAATATATACCAAAACATTTTTTTAAACAAGAAACCTTTTACTTTCGTATTTTGTCTTGGTTAAGTTAGATTTATCTGTTTAAATTTCACCAAAAAAAAAACAAGAAATAGATGTCACATAAAACTAATTTTAACAATACTAATGTTCAACTTACAGCAAAATAACAAAAAAGTCACTATAGAAGTAATAGTTATAATTAAAAGAAATGGAACAAAAAACTTTTTTTGCCTTTTTAAAAGCAATTCAATCTACGGATCATGTTAGCGTAGGACACTGACTTAATGCAATAATATAAACTTGTTCAAATAAACATACTTCATCTTCTCCCTTTGGATCCTATCTCATAATCAGTATAATTTATGCTGTTATGACGACTATCACTCCTGTAACCTAATACAACCGTACCCAGTAAACTTAAAATAATAAAAACTTATGATGATATTATAAAATCCTTTCTTAAGAATATTGAAATTACGTTTTGTAATTGATAATTATATTCTTAAATATATATATAGAAACAAGTTATAGTTTAATAGAAATTATTTACGATAGTTCCTAAAGTTTTCAATAAAAATTGCTATCAAATCCCTTGCTCTTTGACAATATGAATAGAACAGTTTCAAATTTAGAAATAGGATACCAATTCTACATAGTATTGACAGATTAGTCTAATCCTTAATACACTTTAGGAAGAATCCAATTGTAGAAAGTTCTATATGAAATAAATATAAGCTCCTACAAGAAAGACAAAATAGTTAGAAATCTTCAATCTATTCAAAATTCAATTACTACTATATATGGTTCTGAACATAATTGGCAGAAAAAAAATTGCCCAAGAACGCCAAATTTTGCACGGAATGATTATTGGCTATTAAGAGTTAATAACGGCGCATGTAATGAAATAACACTATAATGTATTGTTTACTCGTACTAATTTTTTTTTAAATATTTGTAAATAGAGTAGAAGTTATTCCAGTAGATTCGGCAATGTGTGTTTTGATTTATATTTCGCTTTTATTGTATATCTATAATTACACAAATATACTAAATAATATTATATTATATATTATTTAGTATATTTTTATTAATATTGTATAATTACAAACATAATACGATTGTAATGCAAAACTTAGGTTCGAATAACCGAATATTAAAATTCATTATTCTTCATTTCAAATTTTGCGCCATTAATTTGAATGCTTTATGCGATATGTGCTAACAGGGCCATCTGCTTCTGAACGCAAAAATCAAAAGAAAAACGTCTTTATATGAATCTATTAATTGTCTAGGGTTTGCACCGTGTTTTGTTTTCGCAATCAAGTAAGCGTCAATTATTATAAAAAAAGTTTAGAAATCCACATAGGACAAAGGGAGTCTTGTGTTCCTGCAGGACTAAAGGAGTAAAGCCTTACATGTCTCTGCATGTATTAATTATCTAGGTACGCTTTTCTTGAACAAACTATTAACTAGGACTTTGATAATTTATATATCGTCAAAATGGCCAATAAATTGTTGTACAACACAGTACTTAGTCAATGTTTTTCGAACTGTGGAAGATATCTAGTTGCTGGTAATTGTTATGGTGATATCTCCATATTCGATTTGAAAGAAATATTAAAACCAGCATCTGCCAGTCGAAAGCCAGTCCGTAATTTTTCGGCAAGTACTAAATTCCCTATTTGGAGCATGGTTATAACAAACACTTTTCTAGTCGCAGGCTCTGTGAATGAAATATTTGGGTGGAATTTTGAAACCCTCATGGCATCAAATGACTCAAAACCAGCTTGGACGATTAGAATACCATCAAATCGGAATAATGTAAGCACAGATGTTAATACACTATGGTATGACTCTGTTAATAAAAGAGTTCTTGCTGGGTGTAGTGATGGAATAATTTACATGTACGTGCTGGAAAGTTGCTCATTAGTTCGAAAATTTGAAGGACACAAAGATTACGTACTCTGGATTGATGGAGACACATCTCGGATTGCATCGGCTAGCGAGGATGGTACGGTTAAAATGTGGGACTTGAATCTGGAAAGATTCACAAATGAATTGGTTCCGTATAAAGAAGAAAAACTCCAAAGACCAAATATAGGAAAATGGATAGGTTGTGTTAAATTTAATCAAACTTGGCTGCTGTGTGGCGGTGGACCAAAATTGTCCCTCTGGCATTTAAGATCTTTAGAGATGGTAACGGTATATGATTTACCAAATTGTGGAATACATGTCACGAGTTTCGTTGATGATCATATATTAGCCGCTGGTGCTTCAGGACATGTATACCAAATGGCATATGATGGAACGCTTATAAGTGATATTACAGCAACACCAACAGCAGTATATAGTGTGGTGCATAGAAATATGCCAAATAAAGTAATATCCATTGCGGGATCTAGTAATATCCTAGACATATCAACTAGTTACTTTTATAAAGATGTAGAAATAGCTTTCAAATGAAAGTAAGCTGCACTTAATATCAACATTTCATATCACAGATTAACCAGTATTTATAAGTTGAAAAGATAATGACCTAGTAAAATTATACCATTTAAATATATCTCAATATTTCTATCTTTATCTGAAATAACCACTAAAATTTCCAATTTCATGTAAAGCATTAAGAATGCAGTTTATTTCTATAAAATTAATGAATACACCAAATGTTCATTATTGTCATTTATATTACATATTTAAGAAGTAATAAAAAATAATAAAACAAAAATTGCAATGATTATTAGTTTATGTTCAAATGCTTACTTTCAGCTTTTTATTTCAGGAGCGGACATTGTGCAGCTACCATGTATGATATAAAATTACTTTAACTATTAATAATAAATAAGCCTGACAAAAACCTAAAATAATATTTATTATTATTGATTACGGATTGCACATGAAAAAATAAAATAAACTAGTGGTGTGCATGGCATCGTGCCATGCCAAGACAAAATGCTCGAACTTCCCGTACCGTAACAAAATGTTCGAGGAATATTAAATGTTTTCAAATAGTTTATTATAAATAAATACTGTAACATTGTCTAATACTTATAAGAATTATATAAATTGAATTGCAAAGTTGAAAATATTTGTTTAAAGTATATTAGAGCTTAAGTCAGAATTACGTTTAAAATCTGAATTATTTTCGATATACAAAATAATTAAAAAAAAAAGTTGTAACAAAAAAATTTTTTTTCCAAAATCAATTATTTTCTTAAGTCAAGCAGAAAGCTCTTTGAATCATTTAAATCGGGCGCTTAGTTCTCTCAAAAACTGCCATTTTTTACATATTTAGCTCCGTATCTTCGAAATGGCTGGGCATGCCTTTGCCAAAAACTAATAAACATTTCTCCCAATCATTACTAATTGAATATTTTTAGATCATTCAAATCGGATACTCCGTTCTCTCAAAAACTCGATTTCTTTTTTCTGGACTCTTTGCTCCGTATCTCCGTAACGGCTGGACCTGCCATTGCCAAAAACTAATCAGCTCTTTTCCCTATTAATATGAACCGAATGTTTTTTGAACCATTCAAATCGGTTGATCCGTGCGCTCGAAAATGTGATTGGAAATTTGTATCCATACATACATACACACACACACACATCCATTTTTTCTGAGGTATGCCAAAATGTTCAGAAACCTTCAAAACGTCGAGAAATGTAAAAATTTTCAATTTCGATTTTCGACCCATTACAATAACTTACCCTACGGGAAGTTAATAAATTAATTAATAAATTGAAAAAATATATTCAAAGATCTAATAAAGTGACAATCTAAGTTTTGCATATTAACATAATGGTAAGTTAAAATCTTGCCAGGATTGACACTGAGAATGTATGCATTAATAAACTCATTCAATACAAAACATTATAATTTATTTGAAAAAAAACCTGTATGACAAACCAAGAAAATTTTACATAAATGTATAACCATGAAACATGTAAAACAAAATCGATCTTTTCCTCCCACCCTCAGATACACATCTGACCCAGTGCTGGGTTCGATGAAACCATCGTCAAACCCATTCTCTACTGGCAAACAGCTCGCCAATGGAATCACGTACAAACATTGAATTGTATGTGTTGTTTAGTTCCAAAACGTTAAGACCTGCTTTGGACTGTAGTAGTGGTAAATAAAGCTAAAATTTTTCTAACAATTTGCTTTTACGGGCAATCGTCGCTTCTTTCACTGTTCTGCAAAACATTTTAAATGGAATGAAGATGCGGATTAAAATATTAGTTTGGTGCATTGTAATTTGTAAATTTCGTTGGTTTAATAGAGCATGCCAGATACTTTGTATCAGCTAATTCAACCCTATGAGAATATCGCTGCTGTACGGAACAGCGTACCTATTAGTAGTGCCATTGAAACGGACCAGACACAACAATATATTTTAAGATATTTCTATCATTATCATTGAAAATGTGTTTAAAAATTAAAAATTGCGCTTCTAATAACCTAAATATTACCATAAAAAATAAAATTAACAATAGTTTAACTCATAGTAATAAATCGAAGCAAACACCGACACAGAACATGTCGCCCATGAACGACATCCGTCAGCACGTCACGCGGATGTCGTCCATAGACGGCACTCGTAGGAAAAAGTTTAAAATAGAAGCTCAGACAAAGAAACTAACCAGTAAACACAACAAAATGACCAATTTAGTGAGTATTCAAATAGTGACAAAAACATGATTTTCCTAGTCATTAACACCATATTCCTTAAAAATTTCAACATCTTCCACAATAATGATAAAGGGGTGTGCAATGCAGAGTAGTTAAGCCCACAGCCTTGCAACTATAGAATCCAATGACCAAAACCTCCAAAACTAGAACATTTTCAAAAAATAGTATTATTCTTACGAGTCGTGTAAAAATGAAATAACATGCAATAGTGATATCGATTTTCACATAAAAATATGTTTCGAAGTAAAAATAGCCCTTGCGGGCATTGCTGTGCAAGGAAGTATATAATAAGCAACTTATAATATGTAAAAACCAACATGATGTAATATAGAATATTAGAAGATTAGGTGAAGTATCTCACATACATAGAAAGTATGTAACAAATAATATAATGAAGAACATTAGAATAATATAAAATAAAAATAAATCAAATCACTAAAAAATATTATGTAGAATATTGAATAGATTAGAATATAAAAAAGAAGTAAAATACAAAAAATATATGTAACGAATAATATAACGTTGATATTACAAAATAAAAATCATGTAAGTAGCTAAATGCTCTACAAAAAGGCAAATAAAACAGTACAAAAAATTCAAGCAAACAAAATAGTACAAAAAACTCTATAATAACGTGCTATAATTTATAAATTTGTAATTGCATTTTTATCTAATTTTGATCCTCCTCATTAAATATTTTATAAAGCATACTAAAAGCATATACTTTAGATACAATAATATAAAAACTCGGGACTGAAGATATTTCACATAAAACCTCTATTATAAATAAAAAAAATATAAATATTTATAAATTAATAATTTTGCATTGAGTTTTTGACAAGAACAAAAATGATATTCTTAACTGTCATGGTGCTTTGTTTTAGAACAACTTGATGTAATAAAAATACATTTTATTTCGATTAAATGTCTTCTAGATACGTGGTAAATGTTGCCATCAAAAAGATTTTGGTGACAGATTTTAATAATATTAATATGTAAAAAATTTGGGAAATATGTGGCGCAAGTGGTTATATTTCCAGTCTTGCAACCACAAGGTGGCGGGTTCAAATCACACGTTACGTAGATACTACGTAGTAGTAATTACTCTCTGTCCGATATTGCAGTATTACGTTAAAATATATAGATAAAACTAGTGATAGTGTTAGACAAAACTATCTAATAAAAAATACATTAAATATAGACAGGACAACCATTGGATGGCCATCTAAAAAATAACTTACAACTATTTAAAAATTTTATCCCCATAACTCATAGAATTCTGAAGCTTTATACTGATTGCTGTTCAAAAACACAAACATTTAGAAATTAAAAAAATCGTAGGTAATCGTAAAAAATGATTAATTCCAGTACAAGTAAATACAAAGAACATAATAATATGAATAATAAATTAAAATAAACTCTTTTAAATTATAGTTTACATACTTCCAGCATAATTGAAGTAAATTACTACTTGTAGAAAATCGACGGTGAGTTATAAAATCAAAAGATTCTTCAATAAAGCATGAGATACAAAAACTCTATAATCGTTGATTAAATATGTCAAAGAAAAATAGCCGGAACAATAAATTACAGAATTCATAGCAAGTTTATTTTATTATGTATATTTTTTATCTATCATAAAACAAAAAACGAGAAATGCCCAGAGGTAATAGTTTCGCGTTTCATGGCGAGTTGTGATTATAGTTCCGAAATACCTTCACGTGATCTTTGACCTTTTTGAAAAAGTCTAGCTGATTGTGAGTTAAATAATTAATAAGGCTATACAGAACTGCCATAGAATCAGCTTTTAATAATAACCATCATTTTGCATTTCATTTTTAAACGTCATTGTCGAACTTGTTAAAAATGCAAAATTTGCCCGCGTGAAAAGCTCGGGATTGAATGGTTATCGGTGGTAATCGATAAAACAAATATATTATTTCTGTAATGAAATATCGCAACGTTATATCGAAGATTATATTTTTAGCGATGATGGTATGTAATTATGTGGCATGTCGTTTCATTCATTTTATTACAGGATATACAAATTTGAAACGGAATAAAATATCAGCATTATTGATGGAATATGCGTATTGCTTTTTTTGTTAATATTATGCCTTTGTAATATAATTGATAGGGATGTAAAACAGTCAAAGTTCCTTTGTACGGTACATTTATTTTATTAATATTATTTTTCATCAATAGAACCGCATGGTTGATTTTACTTTTATAATACAACCACGTATCATTTTGAAAGCTATGGGAGATTCATATAATATATTACAGAAATGATTTTAAATATTTAATGGATTGCAATAAATTGTGCTTTATATAAAAAAGCAAAAAGATGTGCGCAAATACAAAATAATCTGACGAGTACCAGATTTCCTACGTTTTTATATTATTATATAAACAAGTACCAACAAATGCTTGAACACATAGTTTTTAAATTTTCCAATTGTTAACATTTTCAAACAAAGAAAAAACAAACTTTGGTTCATACCAAAAATTAGGTAACTGAGTAAGTGTAGGGTTGTATATATCGAATTCTTGAAATATATTTAAAGAAGTGTTGTTTTTTAAAAATGTGATAGTTACTATGCAATAAGATAAAGTACTTTAAGTGAATATTCTTCAGTATTTATTTTTTTATTTAATATATCAGTGACACTATATTTAAAGTATTGACACTGGTGTACGGTACAGCAAATCGCTCATTAGCGCTACTGAACAGGCCATTATCAATAAAAATGCATTTGGAAATTTAAAA